AGTTGTCCAGCTAATTTCTTTCTATTTTTTTTAGTAGAGACGGGGTCTCACTCTTGCTCAGGCTGGTCTCGAGTTCCTGAGCTCAAACAATCTGCCCGCCTAGGCCTCCCAGAGAGCTAGGATTACAGGTGTGAGCCACCGTGCCTGGCAACACCAAGATTTTAATTGTCGGCATTTCTGGGTGACATAACAGATGATTTAATATCTTTGTGCCTTTATTTTCCAAATCTGCTAAAATGAATACAGAAGATATGTATTATATGAAAAGAGTTATTATACTTAATAAGACTAAACGCTTCATTTGACTAGGAAGAAAGAACGAAAGACCGAAAAAAGAAAAGAAAAGGAAAGGAAAGGAAAAGAAAAGAAAATAAAGAAAAGCTGCATGAATGAACCCTAGTCACTTTATTCTTTACCCCTTGAAATCTCAGGGTAGCAGATAACACGATGTGTTAACAAGAGCAATAAACTGAGTTCCACCAAATATTTGAACCAGCCCATCTCCTGGATCTTTCCTAGTTCTCACGTTATCAGTTAAATCTAGTAGATAGTACCAGTGAATTAGAGCAAAAGCTCCCTCAGTTTTGGTCCAATATTAGATATCACATACTACATAAAAATAAATCAGTTCTTTTTCTTCAGTAATTCTATGCCCTGGGAAAGAGCTATGATGTCTAGGTATATTAGAACTACTTCACTAAATTTTTCAGACAAGACTCTCCCATTTCCTTACGAGGGTCTGAAATCTCCCCATTCCCTAAGAATCACTGCCAGAGTAAGCTAAGAGAATGGAGAGTTTAAGTCCAAGCCGGGTATCTACGCAGAAGGGTAGCCTGGTGGGGAGCCAGAGCAAGGTGAGGCAGATGTCAATACCCCTGGATGTCAGAGAATGACCAGAGTGAGGAGAGATTCACAGCGGAGGGTAGCCTGGCATGGAATGTCAGAGTATATCCAGGGCACCCTGCTGCAGAGTGCGAAAGCCCAAGTAGGGAAAGGAGGGGGGTATAATGTGAAAAGAGTGAAAATAATAAACTCTGTGGGGCTGGTTTGGAATTACAAGGTATCAATGTTAACTCATGATTTTTAATATATACAGATTTATAGAAATATAAATTTGTGTGTATATGTATGTCATTAGTGTATGTTTACATATACATATACATACAGGACACATATTTTCAAGCTCTATTACAAAGAGGGCCTGGGAATAGCAACACCCCAATAATAATAATAATAACACACTCAGTGCCCATAGTTTGGCTTCTAAATACCCTTTTCAACTAAAAGGAACTAGGGGAAATGGCTGACTCTATGGCTAGGACAGGGAAAGTACAAAATGGACCTGGAACATCTTCTCCCAAAATGCAACGGAGTGCTTAAAGAATAACAGAGACATGTCAAAACCCTATCTTATTCCCCCTATGAAAATATAAAACCTTTCAGGATACAACTGTGATTTTTCCATATTACTTGTCCCTGAATCTTGATTTAAAGGCCTTTGTAAATGCTCACAGCAAATTAAATTGAAAATGTCACCCCCAGAAATGCTGACAATTAAAATCATGGTGTCATGTTTTTAGCTGTTTGTGCTTGTGTATGTGTATGTCTATTTTTGGAATTCAAGACTAGAACTTCTCAATCTACTGTTTCCCAAAAGAGGCTGATCTCAAGGATTTAAAATGGATGATTCCTATTCACTCATACCACCATCCACTCTTCCTTTATTTTACCCTGCTTTTTAAAAAAATAAACTTT